CTTCTTCATCTAATTTCTCATGAACTTTCTTGTCTATGGAGTCCATAATTTTTCCAACTGCTATGCAATATTTTGGAGAAGCCCACATTGCTATATAGTTTACAAGTCTTGGGTCTACATACATTCCTCTAACCTGTTTGATTTCATCAGGAATTCCTGCATGAATTTTGTATAAAAAGCAACCCGCTGTTTTCCGCGGGTTGGTATATTCTTCACAAAATGCCTCAAAATACTCTTCCCAGGATTATTTTCCAACAACCTTCTAAAGTCTTTCCTAAACTGCTGACACATATTTGTTGCATTTATATAACCATCCTTGTCTCTACGTAAGACTTCAATACCGTTGTAAGTGCCTTTTGTGAATGTTTCGCCATTAGATTTGTTCGTGAACGTTTTTGCTTCGACTGACATTTCTGTTCTTACAATAAAAATAAAAAATATTTTTGGCTTAACCGTCGGACATTCGTTTGTGGCTTAACCGTCGGACCACAAACGATAAAAATCTCGACAAAACATATACGATGAAGTCTCAACAAAACATTTACGATGAAGTCTTAACAAAAAATATACGATGAAATCTATTTCCTGTGTTGTTGTCAAAATGTCATGTTGTCACACTTTTTTGTTAGTTGACCGAGTGACCGAGTGACGAGTGACCTGGTCGCCTAAAATATATTTTTTTCTATCTTAAGGAAATTCATGAAAATTCACCTGTTGAATTTTGTATAAAAAGCAACCCGCTGTTTTCCGCGGGTTGGTATATTCTTCACAAAATGCTTGTTTTGAGGTCGAGCCACTTTTGGCTCCACCTCTTTTTTCAACCAAAAACTCATTTTTGTCGAATTCAGCACAAAATTCATGAAAATTCAACGGGTGAGAAAACAGGTGAGAAAACAGGTGAGAAAACGGGTGAAATCTCACCTCTTCACCTAAACATTATTTTTCAATACTTTTTCAGCACTTTTCCGTAGTTGTATATGAAAGACAATTCGAGATAAAAGTCATAGTACAATGTATAATATGCTGCACACCATTTGTTGTGAACCAAACTTGAAAGTCAGAGAAACTGTTACTAGGTGGTTCGTAGAATTTAGAAGCAAAGTCATAAAAGTCCTTACCAATACATAGAAAACTATTGTTGCTGTGAACTGAAACTTGCATGACACATAACATTTTGAGGGTCAAACACGTTTCTATAAACTGTCAAATCTGTTGGTGGGCGTATAAATTTAAACGGACCGTCAGGTGGTAATGGTTCGTTCTGGTTTAGTAACCGAAGAAATTGTGCCCAAGAACGTTTGCTACTTTAAAAACTGTGTATCTCTTGGAGGTTATTTTCAATCCTTTGAAATGAAACTGTGGAGTTCATCTTGTCATATTCTAGCTTCAGATAGTACGTTCCGTTTAGTAAAGAATCGTATTTTTCTTGAAATTCCCAATAATATTTGTTCATTTGAGTTTGAAAGTCATTTAGAGTCTTCTCAAGGTTTTCGTCTGAACGAATTGTAAAGATTCTCATTTCATCAAATTTGTCTATTAGACCATCAGAACCTTTATATTGCCCATGAAAATATACTGCGAACATAAATGCGTTAGTTCTTTTTGAAAACAAAACTCTTCTAAATCCTATTGCCTTTGCATCTGAAGGACTTTGAAGCCAACGAATTGGATAATCAAACCTGTATGAACGGGATGAAATTTCTTCATCTGATATAGTCCTACCGGCGTTTGTAAAGATATAATCTAACGGTTTTGTATCTGCTACTTTTGTTCTTTGTTTTTCAACCTGAAACATTTAATATATGTAAAAATATATGGTTTAAAAAACGTTTTAAAATGGTATGCCATATAGCTTCTTGAATTTGTTAAGATATAGTCTAACGTTTTTTTGTATCTCTAGCGTTTACATAAGCATAGCCTTCCTTAGTAAAATATACTTGTAATTTTCTATAGTTTACGCCGGTATAAAAGTAGAAAGAGTCCTGTTCTTCGCTATAGTAGTAAAACTCAAACGTATGCTTACTATAGTCTGTAATTTCAATTGCTTCATCTTCTAGTTCGTCGACAAATTCGAATACAATATCTCGAAATTTGCCTTTGTTCTTATTGTTTTCAGAACAAGTAACCCAGCGTAAGTTTTCAAGTCTATTGTCGTTTCTTATACGGTTTATATGGTCTACAAGAGGTAGATTGTTAGGGTTCGGTATAAAATGAGTTGCAATGACAACATGTTTAAAATAGCGTTTCCCACTCATACTCATCCTAGCATATCCGTTATTTTGCTCCCATTCGCTTAAAACTCTTTTTGTCTTTTTGTTTCTGACTTCAAATGACTCACAACAGTGAATTTCATATTTCTCATCTAACAAACAAGTTTCCCAACGGTCTTCTCCAACAAACTCAGCGTACATTTCAAATAAAATAAAAAAATATTTTTTTTAAAATATGTTGTTTTAAATGGTATGCCATTTCATATTTCTCATCTAACAAACAAGTTTCCCAACGGTCTTCTCCAACAAACTCAGCGTACATTTCAAATAAAAATAAAAAAATGTTTTTACTTTACTTAACATAGCCACCAGCTACCAAAAGTCTTTGACGCCAACCCATACCAGCTAATGAAGGTTGACTTGGTTTAGTTTGGAAACTAAACTTTGGTTTTGGTTTATCTTCAGTTTTTGGCTCCCCTTCTTCTATCGGTCTTTCGTCACTTTTCGGTTCCTCTGACTTTACCTCACTTGCAGGTATGGTTGTGTCGTCAACATCTTCGTAAATATCATATGCCATTTGTTTTTGTTTTCCTTTCAACTTTTTGTTTGTTGTAAAGTTTAGAATATTTCGACTCTAAGTCAATGAGATGTTCTATAATGAACTGTTGGTCGGTGAAGTAAACTTTTCCATCTGTTGTCTCATAAACTCCTTCAGACTTCAATATTTTATTTGTGAGAGTCTGTTTCTTTTTGAGATACTAGCCGTTCCATTTCTATGAAAAGTGACTTTATAGTTAGGGTTTGTATTTCCAGACCTGGCACTTTCTATTATTGAATTTTTCTCTTCATCTGTAAGTTCTTTGACAGGTTTTGACAATGGTTCTGAACTTTTTGTTTGTGGTGTCAAATCTACCGTTTCAACTTCTTCGGTCATTTCATCTCAGTAAAAAATTTTAGTTTGGTTTGTTTTCAACTGGTTGTTGTTGTTTTTTAAGTCGGTCTAAAACTTCCTGAGGTATAGGAAGAACTTGACAAACACGTTGTGTAACTGCTGGAAGTCGACAAATCCATCTTGAACCCATTTGTCTCAATGCTGTATTGTTCATTTCATCTCAGTAAAAAACTTTACATTCCCCAAGTTTGAGGTGGTTGCGGTTGGTTATTGTTTACCCACTGTTGTGCATGGTTATATCCTCTGTTAAAGAATCTTTCACCTTGGTCCATGTAGTGCCCTGCTTGGTTATAGTAGTCATTTGCTTTGTTATAATAGTTTCCTGCTTGTCTTCCTACATTGTCCATCCATCCTTGAACTTTTCCTCTTGTTTCAGGATTTGGAATAAGATTTGCTGCATCTCGTGCTACCTCCCAACCTTTCTGTACAGTTTGTATAATAGGTTGTGCTTTCTCTTTCAGTATACCTAATGTACTCAAAATCTTCCTTCCAACTCCAAATACACCTCTGGCTATTGTTCCCACTGCGGGTAAAAATCTGGATGCAACTCCTGCTAATGCGCCAAATAAACCCATTTCTTATGGGTTAAAAAATGACGAATCCAAACAAGGACCCCTATGTTTCTAAAGCGACAAAGAAAGCACTCATGGTAAAAATCTTTAGTTCAACACCAAATGCTTGGTTTATGGATATCTTGGAAAACATTCCGAGGTATAGAGAAGATGGACCACCATACTGGCTAATATTTGTCGGTCAAAACACAAGATACTGTGAAGCCATACCATTACAGTCCAAAAATATTTTAGATGTGAAAACTGCTTTGACAATATTCGTTGACAAATACCATCCAACAAAACTGACATCTGACTGTGAAAGTTCTTTCAAATCAGATGATGTAAAAAACTATCTGCGTTCAAAAAATGTAAACCAATATTTCATTGTCGACCAAAACCATTCTGCTCTTGGTGTCATTGACAGTTGTATAAAAATCTTAAGAGACTTAAACCAACCACAAGGTGGTGAAGCAAATGAAATGTCATATGACGACAAATACAGACATTTCTCCATGGCAAAGATGAGACAAGTTTTAAATATTTACAATAGCCGTAAACAAAAAGGTTTGGGAAACCACTCCCCTGAAGAAATGAAAAACAACCCCGACTTAGAGAAAGACTATATATTTAATAGTTTAGTCAAAAGAGACAAACAAGAAAGAATGCCAGGCTTCAAACTTAAGAAAGGTGACAAAGTAAAAATAGAAATACCTAAACGCGACCCATATGAAAATACTATTGACTATGACAACAATGGGAACCCGACAGGTACTCACATTCGTGTTCGTAAAAATAGAAGAAAGTATACAAGAGAATATTATGAAGTTTTAGGCAAACATGGCAAAATGTACAGACTGCAAGCAGAAGATAAAACTACTATTGTCAGACCTCGTTTCAAACTTGTCAAAGTTCAAGGTGGTATACTTTCAAAGACAGTTCCTAACAAATATAAGACAACTCCTGACGAATATGCTAAAGAAGTTGAAAATGACGACTAAGCAATTCTATACCATGCGTAAACTGTCATGTAAGGTGGCATGTAGTCTTTACTTTGTCCCGTTGTTTGCGTATACCCTGTAATGCGATGTGTATGGCTTCCTCCTCCCTGAGTGTCATCCCAGTAACAATTTATAGCAAACTTAACGTCGTCTTTAACATCATATCCTTTACCTTTTGTCATTCCTGTCCAATCCCAATATCTATGCTTATGCCAACCTGCTTCAGCTGTAGTTAAATTTATGTAGTGACTGTGTGCAGGTAGGTTTTCACCTGAAATCGTTTTACTTCCACCTGTTTCCTTTGAAGAGTTTGCACAATACAAAAACCTGTCGACTATTTGAGTCCAAGTTCCGAGACCAAGTACTACTTCTGGTCTGGTAGAGTTCATTGACGTGTAAATAGAACCTATAGGATATAGTGTTTGAAGTATTTCTGTCTTTAATGTTTGAAGCTCTGTTTTGTCTGCTTTCTTATATAACTTTTCTTCAAGTTCATTTACGTCAGAGATGCTATGTCTATGATATTTTTGTGAGTATGTTCCTTCTGTCCATGTGAAAATATACTCTTTTGTTGCATCTACATATCCAGCTACCCATGTCGAGTCTGCTTTCTTCTTTAACTCATCGTTAACATATGTTTTGTCAGCTTTAAGGTCTAAACATCCTGAAACCCACCCTGTATTGGCTTTACCTTCTAAAATCTTTGTTGTCCGTTCATGGTACCATTCAACCATTTCTTTAATTTTTTCATCCTTTTCATTCACATATTCCTTATCTGCCTTCTTCACTAACGCACTAGCCACACGTGCTAACTCATCGTCAACATACTCTTTGTCAGCTTTGTTGTCAATATCTGCTTTCAAAAGAAGTTCATCTATAGGTTTCTCGTTTAAAGTTCTTTTTGTTGGATTTATACAAACAGTATGGTTCTTACTGTCTTGAAACAGAAACTCGTCTGTCAATGGGTTTATCGTCAGTTTTAAGTTTCCTTCTTTCAATGACTCAGATATCTTAGAATAGTTTGAAAAGTTTGTTGTGTTCTTATTTAGAGCTTGCACAATGAGTTGTCGGTTGTGTTGTATTTCTCTCATAGACGCTGTTTCTTTCGACATTTTTATTCTAGATAAAATATGCTTTCAATAGAAAAAGAAAATTCAAGAGTTGCTACAACTAAACCATTAGATGAACTTTTTACTAATGTCGGTCAAAAGTTTGAGACAGATACCGTAAAGCATGAAGGCTATCGTTTTGACTACCCACTAAGATGGCTAAGAGACCCATCCGTCACAAAAGCTATTGGCTTTCGTAGAATGAAGTTCATTTCAGAAGCCATACATGGTTTCCCATTTACGGTCGCTTTTGAAATTCGATACTATAACAAAGAAAAACATACGTATGAGAAATTTGAACAGGGAAAACTTTTACAAGTGAATTTGCTTGTAAACTTAGAAACAACTCTTCAAGCTTTTCAAGAAAAAATAAACGATATCTATCTCGAATATGCAAAACAGTACAACATTGACGAAGGAGAGTACCATCTCGATATTATATATGACAGGAAAAATGCAACTGTTAAAATCAATAGAATAGAAGACCTTGGAGAAGACGTTTATATTTCTACAAAATATAACAACTTGGCATGGTATAGATTTTTGAGGATGTTAAATCAGCCTGCAGAATATCCAGTACACCCGAACTTTTATGAAGTCGAAAACCCTAATGGAACATATGAAAATGTTTTCGACTCAGATGCTATTATCGTTCATGCTTCATTTTCTGGTGCACAAAACTCTTTTTTATGCTTGGCAAATGACTTTTACGAAAAACCTACAAAGCTATATGAACCACCGAGTGGAAGTATTTCAGACTTTCAAGTATGGTTTACTACAGATGGAAGAAAGAGAATAATTCCATTATACCACGCGTTTTACTTAGAACTTAGTTTCATATACAACTACTATCGAACGGTAAAAATATAATTTTTAATACGGTTGAGGTGTTGGATTTGGTTGCCAACTTGACTGTGGTGCAGGTTCAGGCTGTTGTATAACAGGAGCTTGTTCTTCTGGTTCAGGGTCTTTAGGTATAATACCAACAAACTGACCTACTCTTTTACCAATATTTTTGACTCCGTTCCAAATTCCTCTTCCTACGGTTTTTATTCCATTCCATATACCTCTTCCAACTCTTCTGAAGAAGTTTCCAATACTACTGAAGAAACCCATTTTACTATATGTAAAAATCTAATGTCCGCCTAGTCTCTTACGTTTCCTGTTGAGTTCCATAGCATTCTTTAACTGGAGCTCATACATTCTGTTTCTCCTCTGGTAGAAAACATACTCTGGGTCAACTCCTGTGTTCGCGTCATCTGCATAGAGTTGTTTATATCCCACTTCGGGGTTTGTATAAAACTCTTTCCATCTCATATTTGCATACCATGGTGGCAAACCTAACGCAGCGTCATTTGACATGGCAGTTTGCATTTGTACATCTGTTGGCACTTGACCATAGTTTGCCATTGCAGTTTGTATTCTAACTTCATTTGGAATATTCTCTGGGTTTGGTTGTCCAGGTTGCTGTGCATTCGCTAAGTTCTGTGCGTCCATTTAATATTAGATAAAAATATCTCTTACGAGTACATATGCTGAACATTTGCAGACATTGGTTCATCTTCATATTCTCTATATCTTTCTGCCACGTCAAATAAGTAAATGACACAATGGAAAAAACCTAAAACAAGTAGTCCTATTTCAAACCACATTTACTTACTAGTAAAATTTCTTTGTTATGACACTTTCTCCGTAAAGACTTTGTTGAGATTTCTTCGTAAAGACTTTGTTGAGATTTCTTCGTAAATGACCCAAAAATATATTTTAGGTGAAGAGGTGAGATTTCACCTCTTTTTTCACCTCTTTTCTCACCCTCTTGAATTTTCATGAATTTCTTCGTAAAGACTTTGTTAAGATTTCTTCGTAAAGACTTTGTTGAGATTTCTTCGTAAATGACCCAAAAATATATTTTAGGTGAAGAGGTGAGATTTCACCTCTTTTCTCACCCTCTTGAATTTTCATGAATTTCTTCGTAAAGACTTTGTTAAGACTTCTTCATCTAATTTCTCATGAACTTTCTTGTCTATGTTTTGTTAAGACTTCTTCGTAAAGACTTTGTTAAGACTTCTTCGTAAAGACTTTGTTGAGATTTCTTCGTAAATGACCCTAGTAGTATATTTTTGGTGTAAATTTCATGAAAATTCAAGAGGTGAAAAAAGAGGTGAAAAAACAGGTGAAATCTCACCTCTTCACCTAAAATATATTTTTGGTGTAAATTTCATGAAAATTCAAGAGGGTGAAAAATTAGGTGAAAAAACAGGTGAAATCTCACCTCTTCACCTAAAATATATTTTTGGTGTAAATTTCATGAAAATTCAAGAGGTGAAAAAAGAGGTGAAAAAACAGGTGAAATCTCACCTCTTCACCTAAAATATATTTTTGGTGTAAATTTCATGAAAATTCAAGAGGTGAAAAAAGAGGTGAAAAAACAGGTGAAATCTCACCTCTTCACCTAAAATATATTTTTGGTGTAAATTTCATGAAAATTCAAGAGGTGAGAAATGAGGTGAAAAAACAGGTGAAATCTCACCTCTTCACCTAAAATATATTTTTGTCTGATTTACGCTCATTACGATGAAGTTTTGACAAAGTCTTTACGAAGAAATCTTGACAAAGTCTTTACGAAGAAATCTTGACAAAGTCTTTACGATGAAATCTTGACAAAGTCTTTACGATGAAATCTTGACAAAACATTTACGATGAAATCTTGACAAAGTCTTTACGATGAAGTCTTGACAAAGTCTTTACGATGAAGTCTTGACAAAACATTTACGAAGAAGAAATCTTGACAAAGTCTTTACGATGAAATCTTGACAAAGTCTTTACGATGAAATCTTGACAAAGTCTTTACGATGAAATCTTGACAAAGTCTTTACGATGAAGTCTTGACAAAACATTTACGAAGAAGTCTTGACAAAACATGAAAACATATATAATTTGTGAAAAGTGAAACATTATATAATGTTTTCGACCAAGAAGACTAACAATTTTCCGAATAAAAACTTCATTTATACTAAACATCTTCAGGGCGTAACGCGCCTGGAAGCCCTCCGAATAAAAACTTCATTTATACTAAACATCTTCGGGGGCTAGAAGGCACGAAGTGCCTGGAAGCCATCCCCCAAGAAAAAAAAACTTCATTATACTCATTCATCCTCAGGGCTAGAAGGCACGAAGTGCCTGGAAGCCCCACTACCTTTTTTTTTTTTTTTTTTTTTTTTTTTTTTTTAAACATGATCATGATCTCATCAAATATCTCTCAAAAGTATGATATTTCACAAAACTATGCCATCACAATATTAATATCGTAGATATAAGCCAAATGGTAGCACATAAACCAGCTATTTTAAATTGACCAAATTCAAAAAGAAATTTTTTTTTTGAAATAAAAACTTATATATGATATGTTTCCCTGTCACTGAAGAATTTAAATATTTCAAAATTAATAAATAAAATGCCATCGTCAACGATCAACTGGCGCGAGTGGGAGTTTACTTTTTTTGATGAAATTATAATCTGCTAACTATAAAATTGTATTCCTCTATCATAGTTGTCAAATTTTTTTGAGAGAATTACATTAATTATCGTTGAATATCATGAATCTTCATTTCCCGACCGATGCTAAACAATACGACATTATTTCTCTCATCGGAAAGGGTACATGCTCTAGAGTATATAAAGCTCGTTGCAAAACAAATAATACAATCATAGCGATTAAAATAATTAATCTCGAAGAATATCCATTGTCGATTGAAACCATACAGAAACAAACGAAGTTTTGGTCGAAGTGTGATCATCCAAATATAGTCAAATATTATGGTTCTTTCACAAATGGTCCAGATTTATGGATTTTAACAGAATTCATGGCTGCTGGATCAATGTATGACATCCTCAAGTTCGGATATGGCGGTGGCTTTAAGGATGAGTCACTCATTGCTTCCATTGCTTCTGATATTGTCAATGCTTTACTTTATTTACATTCAAACCATGAAATTCATCGTGATATACGTAGCGGAAACATCCTATTTAACGCTCACGGTCAAGCTAAGCTCTCAGATTTTGGTTTGGCCACAAGTTTAATTCAAAATGGCCAAAAACGTTCTGCAGCCGTATCAATGTATGGCGATGCCTGCTATATGGCTCCAGAGATGCTTACCAACAATACTGGCTATACAGAGAAGACAGATATATGGGGACTTGGCCTTGTTTTGATTGAATTAGCTACAGGCAAAATGCCTTATGCAGGAATGAAATTCATGGAATCGATGGCAAGTATAATCACAAAAGAACCTCCTACGCTCTCAAAAGATAAGCATTCGAGCTTAATTTGTGACTTCGTAAATCTCTGCCTTAATACGAACCCTAAGAAGCGCGCTTCTGCCGAGGACCTTGCAGATCACAAATTCCCCAAGACATCTCGCGGAAGTGGAGCCATTGCAACGACAATTTTGTCTCAATTGGCTCCTCTTGAACAGAGATACAAAATCCTATACGAAAACAAGACAGAACAAAAAATGCAGAAGGAGAAATCCTTTGAAAAAATGGAATTCGACTTCTTTGAAGGAGATAATCCAAATTCTGGCGAAAAATCACCAAGATCTGATGACAAAAATAATGATAGCGATAAAGAATCTCTCGATAGAGTTGAAACACACGGAAGATTTACGATTACAAGAGTCGGATCTTGTTCAGATTCGAAAGAAATGCTTGGGGAATCTCCTCCTCCTGAAAAGAAGAAGAATCCTGCAACAGAAGCTATATCAAGCCAGATAAGACTCCTTAAATTCGAAATTCAGTCTTTGGAATCTGAAAATGAATTTATTTCCGACAGAATACATCAAATTGCCATGGCATTACAACAAATTAAGGCTAGTAGGGGAGAAAACGAGTAATTTGTTTATATATATATATTTTTCCATTAAATATTTTTTTTAATTTTCGAATCAAAAAAAATTGTTATAAATCAATTGTTTCAATGTTGTTTCGAATCCAATTGATTTGTGCACAAATACTTTTAAGTTGACGTCAGATTTTCTTCTTAATTTAAACATTTTCCTCGTCTTTAACTTAACTATAAGTATTTTTATCATATATGAGTTTTACTATTAAGTATCTATATAGTTGTTAATTGTTATCACTAACAGAGATAAAGACAAAGATATTTGATGCTTCAAAAAGGGGAGTTTCTTCATATTTAATCAGCAGTCTATTACAATTGAAACATAATATTTCACAGCCTCAAGATGGCCTACATATAATGCCATAATGAATGGTAACAATTTCAAGATGACCTTTAAATGATGTTCAATCAAGAAGAGTTGCTTCCGTGCACTTATAACAAATTGCAATTATCACAAATTATTTGTGATTACCCAATAAAATTGACTAGTCAACATCATCTCAAAATTTTGATCGATATCAAATTTTGTGTTTTAAAAAAATTCCATCCAACAAAAATCACTTTTTTTAAGAAATGCAAGGAGAAATAAAGTTCTACTATGGTTCGGAACTTCTAAGTTTAGCACAGTGTTTACCTCGTGGGCACAATTGCATTTGGAAAATTAATGACCAAGAAATCCGATGCAGCAGTACAAATCTTGCATTATTTGGTGAATTTTTTGCGAATAGATTTAAATTGGATGCGACACAGTCGGAATTTGAAACAGACTGCACTATATTCCCAGAATCAATTGAAGTTATACGACAAATTATTGATCAACCAAAATTTAAAAAACAATTGAAAATTCAAATCGTCAAAGATCTGTTTGAAATAGGTAGAATTATCAAAAATAGGAAGCTGATGAAGCCTTACTCAAAATATTTAGATACTCTCGATAGTTCTACACCAGAAATATTGGAAGAAAAATTTAAAACAAATTATATACTTGGAAAAGATACTGGGTATTACATTAATCAATTTGCACTTAATTTCAGCAAGTATAATACCGATAACCTTGTTCCATTTTTATTAAATTTGGATTTTGATACAGTTGAACAAATTTTCACAAATGAAAATCTCTGTATCGATGAGGAGGAACAACTACTTAGTGTAGTATTATCATTATCCAATTTTGATAAAAAATATTTTAATTTGATCAAATATATCGATTTTAGGTGCATTCCGAAGATTTATATGGACGATCTTAAGGGATTCATTATAAATAACTACAGAACCAACGAACTTCTTCCATTTCTTGAATCAATTTTTGATATTTATGATTCAGAGAAAAAATACATTCATAAAACAGAAAAACAACAAGAAGCTGAAATGATATCAACTGAATACATCGATCCAGGCAGAATGGTTGTCATGAATGGCCTTGCAACATCAAAATTGGATAATGGAACAAGAATTGATCCTTTTCCATCAAATACAATAATCAGATCATCAAGTCGTGGTAGTGCTGTAGCTAATATTACATTGTCTTTTGGTTGCTTGGCTCCAAAAAGCTACTACGTGGGTTTGACTGATGATTTTAAACCAAAATCATGGAAATTGGAAGGAAAACCAGTTAATTCTGATGATAATCAATTAGTAAAACTCCATAAAGTGGATAGAGTCGAAAGAGATGGATTGTTTACTTTAAATTTAGATAGAAAACTAAAAAAGTTGAAATTTAGCTCATTCAAGCTTACAATGCTCACAGATAATTCTAGCCTTATAGAAATTAAGACTTTTGATATAATTGGAACTTTTTCATACTAAATTATTTTTAATTTTTTATTAGGAATAAAAAATATTACTAATTCATTGTTACATTTGTCTTTTTAGGATATGTAAGAAAAGGTGTATGACAAAAGTTAAAAATTATTATAAATTTCAGAATGAATTTAATTCAGAGAGATAAAAGTCATCTTTCATATGATACAAATACTTAACATGACACTGTAACATTGGAACAAAAATTTAGGAATTCAAATTTTTAGTAATTATACTCTGTAATGAAAACGATAACAATTTGTACACAGACGCATCTGAATTGACTCAACGATCTTGCATGGCTGAAAACTTGATTCAAATTAAATTTAAATTTCTCATCATTTGATTCTCAAAGAAATAGAAATGCTCACTTCAGATTCACATAATCACACATATAAATTTTATCTACTTATTTTTATTTAAAATTAATCCGCACGTAAATTCAGCCAACTTTTGATGGCTATTTAAATTGTCTGTATAACACTTAATCGGGAGATAAATAGCTTCGCAATTATATATTAAATCAGCTCGAACATTACATTTTTTTAATACCATATTCTGGAAAACGGGACTTTTACCAGTAAAATCTGTTTTACTTGAATAACAGTATTCTACCAATATGAAAAATGTATATAAACGAGAATTAGGGCAGCGATATGTATATTCGCACTTATTTTTTATAATATTACACCTTGTAAGAACTAAGGTACACGCAGAGTAAATTAAGATTCCATTTTGGTTCTCAATGTAATTGGAAAATGTAACATTAATTTTATTTGATCGACCATGGTGAAATACCATTTCTCTACTTACTTGATAGTTTCTTCGTACGTTAACAAATGCAACTTTTGAGTCAGAATCAACTAATTCAACAATGTAACCTCCATTTTCGTCTAAAACATAATTATCAATAATGTTTGTATTTTCAAGTAAAATTTTCCCATTGGATTGGTAATTCATGTAGCTAGAAGATTTAGTTTTTGATCCGCATTGCGAAACTGATGTTTGCTTTACAGAATTAGTAAAATTTTCAGAACTTGAAGCATATGAAGAATATGTTGGCCTTAAATAGGCATATGAATATGCGTAACAGTTTTTGTTTTGGGAAATTTGACCTTCGTTATAAAAGTAAAGTGATCCTCCATAATCTGAGGAGGATGAACAGCTACAATTGTAGAACTTGCATGATTCAATGACCGATTTAGTGGAATTTGATTTTGATGTAATTCTGACAGCGCCTTGATTCTGAAGTGTATCAAATTGACAAAATGAGATATAATATAATGACGCAGAATCATTCTCATAATAAGAACTCTTATTATAATATGTTTCAGAAGGTTCTGTTCCAGGAAATTCATCAATCCACCCATTTTTCAGGGCCTTTTAAATCACATCAATTTTGACAATTTTATAAATTTCAAAAGATTTGTCAAAAATATCAAATCTGATCAGAGCTTCCTTAAATCATGTCCACTATATTACCTTTAGATTCCTTTGCAATTCTTTAATATCTGCGGCCTGAAAATCCAGAGTTTTTCCTTGGTGATGAAATTTCGATATTTCATCCTATTCTTCACTCGACATAATATTAGCACTTTCCCAACATATTAAATACAATTCCTGATCCTAAATTCATATGATGGATTGAAAATTTTATTTCTTGGCTAAAACCATCATGGCAAACCCAAATTTTAGCTAAAAGTGACAGGGAAAAAAAAACGTTTAGTATTAAAAAAAAGACCGATGAGAGCTTCGTTCGAAATATAGAGGGAACTGAGAATGCGCAACCATTCTCAGGGAATATTGGATGCTATTCCCGTTCCCTCTGTATGGAAAATTGAGGTTTTCAAAGGGAGTTAAAATAATATCAAATTTATACTAATTTACTTCAAAATACAAAAGTATTTGACAGCTAAAATTAGTTACTTTAGCAAGCCTATCAATACCCTTTTACGATTATTGCTACTTTTTCGAAATAAAAGTAAAAACAAATTTATACTAATTTACTTCAAAATACAAAAGTATTTGACAGCTAAAATTAGTTACTTTAGCAAGCCTATCAATACCCTTTTACGATTATTGCTACTTTTTCGAAATAAAAGTAAAAACAAATTTATACTAATTTACTTCAAAATACAAAAGTATTTGACAGCCAAAATTAGTTACTTTAGCAAGCCTATCAATACCCTTTTACGATTATTGCTACTTTTTCGAAATAAAAGTAAAAACAAATTTATACTAATTTACTTCAAAATACAAAAGTATTTAACAGCTAAAATTAGTTACTTTAGCAAGCCTATCAATACCCTTTTACGATTATTGCTACTTTTTCGAAATAAAAGTAAAAACAAATTTATACTAATTTACTTCAAAATACAAAAGTATTTGACAGCTAAAATTAGTTACTTTAGCAAGCCTATCAATACCCTTTTACGATTATTGCTACTTTTTCGAAATAAAAGTAAAAACAAATTTATACTAATTTACTTCAAAATACAAAAGTATTTGACAGCTAAAATTAGTTACTTTAGCAAGCCTATCAATACCCTTTTACGATTATTGCTACTTTTTCGAAATAAAAGTAAAAACAAATTTATACTAATTTACTTCAAAATACAAAAGTATTTGACAGCTAAAATTAGTTACTTTAGCAAGCCTATCAATACCCTTTTACGATTATTGTTACTTTTTCGAAATAAAATAAATTTATTATCAAAAACCTTTTTTTTCTTAGTAAAAATAAACGAAATTTTTTACCTTATGAACTTTTGATGGAAATATGCAAATTTAAAATAATAAAGAAAGCCGCGAGCGAAGCGATCGGCTTAGTTCGAAGATTTTGATTCAAATCTTTGCTGATCTGTAATTCGCGGAAGCCGCGAGCGAAGCGAGCGGCTTAGGTCTAAGATTTTGATTCAAATCTTTGCTTATATTCCTTAAATTCTTTATGAAACTCGCAACAGTTCCATAAAAAATTTTAAATTCTAAACTGTCGAAATTACCGATCGGTAATCACACCCTTCACGGGTGTGTCACTTTTTACAGGTGTGTCACTTTTAGCTAAAATTACCCCTACTCGTAAATTTTACATAAAATTTTTTTTCAGATATAAAATTTTTTATATGGTAGAAGAAAGCCCAACCAATGGCCCAATAAAAGGTGTTTTAAAGAAGAAATACGGTTTTGAAGGTGCATGGAAACCATGTTTCTGTGAGTTTAGCAGTGGTGAATTGAAAATTCACTCTGGACTCGAAGATTCTCCGGTAGAAACTACAATTAAGATCACACCCTCAACAGTTATTCACATAGTTAGGGATACTCTTCCCACTCGTTTCACTATTGAACTCGAAAATGATAAAATTTACATGTTTTCTACAGAAAATTCGCAAGATACTAATTTATGGGTACACAATCTTCGTTCAGAAACATATAATGGAGAACGCTTATCAATGGACGACTTTAATATCATATCTGTCCTTGGAAAAGGAAAATATGGAAAGGTTATGCTTTGTGAAAAGAAAGGAACTGGCGAAAAAGTTGCCATTAAGTCAGTTAAGAAGAAACAAATCCAAAAATCACAGAATTTCAAAGCAATCTTATCAGAAAGAAATAATTTGATGCGTACAAATTTTCCTTTTATTGTTCGTATTAAGTTTGCATTCCAGACATCAACAAAATTTTACATAGGCATGGAATATATACCAGGTGGCGAATTATATCATATCCTTTACAATCATGACATCAATTTTTCCGATTGTAAGCTATATCTTGCCGAAATTGCCCTATCATTACAATATTTACACTCTCGTGGTATAGTTTATCGCGATCTTAAGCTCGAAAACATTATGATTGCTGCGGATGGCCACATAAAATTAGTTGATTTCGGTCTTTCGAAAGATTTATCGATATCTAACGAGACATCTACATTTTGTGGAACAATACATTACGTTGCTCCTGAACTAATCCTTCAGAGGCCATACAGTTATCAAATTGACTGGTGGGCTTTCGGAATTATCGCTTGCGAGATACTTTTCGGAGAATGCCCATTCTATGATGCAAATATGACTGTCGAAATGGAGAAAATTTTGAAAGAACCTCCGAATTTTCCAGAAGATGGAGATGACGTGACAAAAGACTTCATTTCGAAGTTCCTCATCAAGAGACCATCAAAGAGAGCTAAACTTGAGGACATGATCAAGCATCCGTTCTGGGATGACTTAGATTTCAACAAAGTTCTCGAAAAAGGTTATAAACCAGAGTTTATGCCAAAAATTAACGATGTAAAAGAGAATTTTGACAAAGAATTCACTGATTGTCCAGCAATTGACTCTTTCTGCAGCCCTGTGAATGATTCTAAGTTAGATATTTCTGGTTTCTCTTTTTCTGAAGACGAAGAAGAGGAAATCATGCCTTCTTCAATCTTGACTCTTGATTTTATAGATCCTCAGATATAAATATATGTTTGTATGAATAAATGTTTAATCAATTTATAGAATTACTTAATTTTACATCTTTTTTTTCTTAGAAGATTAGCAAATGAAGTCTTCTACATAATTATAACGTACATTTGAATGATTTAGGGCATAAACTAAGAAAATAGCCGGAATTTGAGTAACAAATCAAATGATAAATTTAATTTGATGAATTTTTCAAGATGTAATATTTAATTACTTCATACCTTAAAACTATTTTGATGATTTATTCTTTGAGAAAAAGTGACGCAAAATTTTAAACAGAATGGATTCTTTATCATATTATGCCTTGGAAATTTCTAGGGAAATGCTGAAAGGAGAGTCAGTGAATCCTACTATTTTAGATTTTCTTAAAAACTTTGCGGCGAAATTAAACGTAAACATAGAAGATGAGGAAGAAGATGATTTATTAAAGAGTGATGATGAAATGGAGTTAGAAAACGCACGTGGTACAATATTAGGTATGCAAAATCAAATAAATATCGATAGATCTAATACACTTAAAAAACTTTATGAAGAACCAGAAAAATATGATGGTTCTACAGCAAGAACACACTTTGTTTCAATTAAAAAGCCATTAACAGTACATGAAGTTGAAAAGAAAAAGAGAGATCAAAAGGAAAGGCTTAATAAAATTCGTAAAAGCATGTTTAAGCCTGTTAAACCAGAAACACTCAGACAAAATCAAAAAGAACAAGAAAGTATGCTTAGAAAGTTCGGAGTTAAGCCATTTAAAGAAACTCTTCCAAATCGCAACTTAGAATTAAAGACAGATCTTCAAAGAAGACAAGATACTAGAAGGAGATACGGAGAAACTCTTTCGGCCACTCAAAGACAGCGAATTACTCAAAAACCTCAACAGATTCCGATAAAAGAAGAAAAACCAGCGCCGCCATTCGATCCATCATTAAATGACTATGTAAATAAAATCAACAAAGAAATACAGTTATACGATAGCTTTATTGATGATTTAGACAAAGAAATTTCAATTCCATATTTCGATTTTCAAAGTCTTCACGCAATGTTAGATACTCCATTCAATCCTAACCAAAATGGAACAGATTACCATATGAGATTTGCAATTTTGTTCCAACAATTAGAAACTCAAGAAGAAAGAATCGAAGCATTGAAGTCAGAACTGCAATAAAAATGTTTGTGTATAGTTATTTTAAATTTTTAAAACATTTTAGGATCTCTTACGCCCATTTGATATTCTTTCCCAATCAAAGAGGATATCTTTCCTCTTTCTGACATATTCATGGCATAAGTATATGACTGTATATGCGTAAGATAAAAATCAGCATACTTATCCTAGATAAATAAACATTTGGAGTTTGCTATTGTACAAAATATAATGTAAGTAATGATTTGATCTATTCTTGTTAGAAATAGAATGATGTCATGCACAATGAGCTATTAAATAGAGTTATACATGAGAGGATTACGCTTAAATTATTAGAAATAGAGTTATTATTCAATTATTCGGATGCCTGATGAAAATGATAAATCCTTTTATGATTTATTTGTTCATTTAAAGAGACAAGAGAATAGCTAGAGCAGTGCCATTCCCAAAATCGACAATTAATGCTAGAAACACTTGATTTTATAATCACAAATCTAAAAATAACGTTCTTTTTTTTCAAAAATTTTAACATGAATCAATCAGAGTTTGGAGAAAAGCACCAAACCGGACTTATTTCTCCACATAATAGGAAAATAATTAAGCCAAGCAGCAATACAATCAATTTATCTAATTCAATTAAAGCGAGAAGCAGCTTACAACAAACAAAATTCGATAATACGAACCCATTAGTAGAAGCAAGGGAAGCACTCAACATCAATCAACGCAGAATAGCAAATGAAGATCTTTTTGATCAATTAATGGAAAAAGCTCTCGATCATCCATTACATGAAGTGTTCGAACCAATACTTAAAGTAATGTTTCGTGGTGATAATTGCATATTATGGATAGATATTCCAGAAAATCAGTACTTATACTCACCAACAAACAAATTTGTTTCTCAATATTCAAATAGTTTACCAGGATTCGTTCATAAGACACAAAGTATTATACAAATCAAAGATGCTTCGCAAGCTCCTAAAGGATTTACCATTGATTCACGTGTTTCTCCAGTAAATTCTCCTTTATTCTTTTTCCCTTTAGCGAATCGTGCTGTTGTACAAGTAGTTAGACGAAGTAATAGTGGTGGTTTTAATGAAACAGACATGGAAACTGCTCAATTACTTATGCATAAGTTTTCAATTTATGGAAACGCTTTATTTTCAGTTTCTACGCTTACTCCACTTGCATTACAACTATTTAAAGAGTCTCCAGCAACATTAAATCCTTTAACACTTATAGAAAAGCATTTTGATTGCGGAGAAGCTCAAATTTGGAGAGTTGACGCCGTAAAGAACATTTATTCAAAATTCAATCCGGAAATAGGTGACATGGAGATCAAAGATGAAGATCCTACCATTTCTCATGCAATATCTTTGAATGGAATTGAAAATAATTCAGATGAAATTAAATTAATTTGCACACATGAGATAAATAAGCGAGAAATATGGGTTGGTGTCTTATCAGGACGTGGTGAGATGTTTAATTCCAGTGAAGAAGCACAGTTTCGAAGCTTATTGCCTTTTTTGATCAAATTCATCACAGGTTTTGGCAATGAGAGCCAACAGAAGGCATTAGCATCACGCATAGGTGATCTCCTTAACGTTTTCTCTCTTATTGCTTGCACACTTAACATATCTGATCTCCAAAGAATTATTAACGACCAAGTTCCAACTATTTTCGACTGCGAGAGCGTCAAATTCGTTGTATTCTCAGAAACAGAGAATCCTCCACAGAGCGGATTGATTTCCCAGTCACTTTCCTTAAATGAACCTTTCATTGCGGAAAATCCATCGAAAGTCAAAGGCTACAATCCATCAGTAGACTCCATAAACAACCAAGAACCGAGATCTTTATTGAGTTCCGCAATTCGCACAGTACAAAAGACAGTTGTTGGATATTTGGCCTTATTTTCCAAAAAAGGAAACAACTGTTTCGATGCGAATGATTCATTGTTACTAAAAGACCTTTCGTCATTCATTGCTTCATCGATCTCTCAGTCACAGCGCATAGAAATGATGAATGACATTTCTGCTTCAATTGCAAAAGGTGACACTTTGAAAGAAGTTTTGACAAACATTTCAAAATCGAGTGATATCAAACGCGTTGTTGTTTACGCGAATAACAACGGCTGGGTAAAACTCGCTGATGCCGGAGAGATCGGAAATCCACAACAAGAAATAGAAGCAATCAAAAATCAGGCAGATTGTGAAGGTGTTACTTTTTATCCGATAAAAAACGAGAACCAAGAGGAGATTGGCCAATTCGGAGTGAACGGAGATCTAGATAACATTCAAACATATTGTAATGTAATTGGTACGTTAATTAACGTCCAGGAGAAAAGTGACATCAGTTTGAATGAAATTATTGATACGAGCAAAGCAGCGTTGGCATCTGCAGCTAATTCTATTGATTTGGGTGAGAATGTATTTAAATACACATTCCAAACAAATAACTTGAAAATACAAAATTATTATCAATTGGTTTTCAAAATTTTTGGCAGATTTCGGATTTTTGATAATTTCAATGTTTCTAATGCTGCTTTATTCAATTTCTTAAGGGAAATAAAGCTGACTAAACAAGGTGCTGATAATCTTCAGATGTTTGCTAGCTTGTTGTTGCAATGTCGAATGGAATCGACTCTTTCCAACATGGAATTGTTTGGAAGTTTAGTTAGTTGTATTTTGTCAGATTATAATTGTCCACAGAATTCTATTTTGGTTGAATCTCCTGAAGCAATTGTTTCTTTGTCGAAGGCAGTAACAGTAATGGCTAATGACGGAAACAATATCTTCAAATCAATTCAACAAACAGATCTCAAAAACATATGGGATTTAATTATTGATTTAGTTGTTTCTTCTGATTTTAATAATTTTTATAATGTTTTAAATTCTGCAGAAAAAGTTATTGATGGAGAAAATGATGATGAAGATGATAACCAGAAGTACTCTATGAAGAAGGAGAACTTGAAACTTTTCCTTGCTTGTGCAAAATTGTCACCCTGCGTAAGAAATAAAAAAGGTGATGAAAAAATCTCAAATTTGGCAACTGATTTCTTCAGAAGATGTGATTTAACACATACATCATTCAAAGATGTCAAATCACGTGAAGAAATTGACCAGGAAAAGATTTCTGATGCTTTGTTTAATGATGCTGCAATTCCTGCTTTCAAACTTCTTTCAAAGATTGATTCTTCATTGAATGTGATTTCTCAATGCGTTTCAAATAACGCGTCAAATTAATTTTGTATATTTTATTATTTTTGTTGATTATCATAAACAATATTTATATATAATTCTCATTGATACTGTTAAACTACATAAAAATGTTCAAAAAACTTCCAAAAATGATTATTAAAAATTGAATTTTCGAATATTTTGCTTTTTGATAAAGTATATATTAATACCCATTAATTCAAATTTTTTGGGTCCCTTTTTCAATCAAATCATAATGCCCAAAACAATTTGAAGTGATTGGTATTAATATATATAGCTCTACATATATGCCATTCAATAATTGAACGATTCGCATACTCCCCGCATCAAGTTCTTAACTACTTGTATTTGATCTACGTATCCTGGTTTTTAAAATTTTTCAATACTTTCTTTAAAAAATGATGCAAAATTCCAGGAAGACTCGATATATCAAAAACGTAAACTATTGAAAATCATATTTGTTTGGAGAAGAAAAAGAAGAAAGTCTCGGAAATGAAAGAGAGTCGTGCTTTCATTCCTCAGGACCTTCAAATGATATATGGAGAAGATTCTATGATCCTGCAACTTATGACAAGTTTGTTAATACAAGTCAAACAATCACTGAATTCAGTCACGTCTTTGTTGATTACGTACTTTTCAAAAATTTTAGTCCAGAAGGTGTTATTCGAATCTCTAAACCAACTGCAGATACAAAAGTTCTTGTTTCATCATCTTCTTTTTTTAAATGTTCCTCTACTAAAAATCATGGAGGATCCATATATGTTTCATCATCAGGAATGTATTCTGGAGAAGGATCATTTGTTCAATACAAAGTCTGTAGTTATGAATCTAAGTCCCCAAATGGAGTAGGATCTCATTCATATATTTGGGTGGCAAGAGATGATAACCACAAGAATTTTGTTATTGAATCATCATTTACTCAAAATACAGGATATGAATCAGTTCTTTGGCATGCACAAGGATCTCTTCTATTTTCATCAATAAATATCTCTGATTCAAAACTAGAAAGGGATGCAGCATTTACTAGTCATGATGATTCATTTTCTCTTTCAACAACAAATTTTAGTAATTTCGATAATATTTCATCAAATGATTGTTTTCGTTATGATTCTAAAAAACAAAATTTCTATTTTTGTAATGTTATTGATAACAATGTTTCAGGAAATATTGCAGGAATTTTCTATCTTACTAATTCTGTTACACTTTTAGTAAGCCAATGTTTCTTCAAAGGAAACAAAGCCTCTATATTATTTTATATTTGGTCAGGACCACCTACTGTAAATGATTGCCATTTTGAAGATAATACATTTCCAACGAATGAAAATTATATTAATAATTCAAAGTCAATGACAGAAATTATTCTTCCTAATTTATATTCTTCATTTTTATGTGAAATTGAAATTAGAAATAAAAAAGATTCTATTCACATTCTTAATATTTCTTTTTCTCGTTTATTTTCTGATCAACCTTCGCATTCGTCTAAACATCGCGCTTGATGAAATTCTATTTTCTTATAGACCCTGTTTTTGGCAACTATATCTCTAATTTTTTAGGATGCATTTATCACATTCTGCCAAATTCCGGAAAACATTTTGAGCCTATCTCAGAAAGTGATTTTTACACATAGATTTGCATTCTCCCACATGGGGACAACAATGTGCAACATGCCTCATGCTGAGTTTAGGTAATCATCGAATGATTTTTTTTTCCTTAGAAATTTTCATAATATGAGATTAAAGTCAGTCCATCTAAACAGCGGGACATATGATATAATTAAATCACATTTCACAAATACCTTTTGTCCCGGCAATGCATGTGTTTCTTAACTTCTCTTAAGAGAATAAGAAATTTCGAAATAAAATTTGAATTAACCAACATCTGATAAACATTCATATAAGCAAGCTTTATTTGTTGTTTCATATTGGATTAGATTGCTGTTTATTTAAAGGGTGCATTTTCGCTCATCTGACTTTAATTTAAATTTCTGACTGTATATGGATCATGCCCTATTCTCTAAATATCAATGAGGGAAAATGCAGGGTATAACGCCTTTTAGGTGAAATTTAAAATTTTGTGAAGTTTTACGGACGCTTAGGCGCCCGAAAATTTCATAAAATTTGGATTATGTGAACAATGATTTACATTTGAATCAAAAATAATCGTAGTTCCCATAATTACTACTTTTGGATTTTTCTCGAAATTGAAGTTGAATTGGCAGCTTAATTTTTAGGAGATCAAGAAAAGAAATATAACTATTCAAAACAATTTTAGACAGAGGAGAAATTTCGGTTAGATGAAGTAAAGAATCAAAAAAATTTTGAATTGAAAAGATTTTTTATAAAATTTTTGACATTTTTTATCACAATGGATAATCAAATTTTTAGTAAGATTGTTAATACATGCATTACATGTCCTCAAATAAAGTTAGAGCAGCCATTTAAAGTCCTGCTTACTTTTCACGACGCAAAACATGTTTTAGAAGTTTTAATTCAAACTTTATCAAAAGCGAGAGATGTTTCCACAAAACAAAGAGTATCATCCTTAATCCAAACATATATAATGCGTAATTTTGATAAACTGAATGCTACAGATGAAGACCTAGTCAATGTTTTGCAGTTAATTACCACAGAAACACCTATTTCAACCGAAAGAGAGCATATAGAGCAGTTTTGCAAGTCAGTAGAATTCATTTTATCTAAAATAAAGTCAATGCCGACTTCAAAAATTTTTAATTTTATTGTATCAAAGCCTTATCCATACTCAGCGATAACATTATCATTACTTACTAAGAACGAAGAAAAGTACTGTGCACCAACTCTTAAATATATCGTTGCTGTTCATAAAGAACCAAACCCTCTTTCATTTTACGCAGCATCTCTTTTCTTTGAGCATCACAATCCATCCAAATTTACAGCTGAAGCTCAAAAAGAGTTCAAAATCGAAGTAATTAAGAATTCTTTGATTTCTGCTTTTAATTACAAACTTATTCACAAACTATCAGCATTAATATTACTAGATACATTATTTAAAACAGCTTCACATGATGTTTGCTTATCAATTATGTCTTCTATGATTGAAATTTTTATTCTACAATTAAAAGACCAAGATCCAACACTAAGAACAGAACTAGTCAAAGTTCTTACGAATCTACCACCAGAAATCGGCTTTGCCAATGAATTATTGACAGCTATTTCATTCAGATTCGAAGATTGTCAAGAAGAGTATGAAAAAGCCGCAATTTCATTTTTATTTAGTCGCAGAGCTGTTCAATCACTTCCTGCCATTCTCAAAACTCTTATAGAAACAAAAGAAACTTATATTGCTGGAGTTGTTTTTGCTGCAAGGCTTGGCTTGTTTTCTGAATCAGATAAACTACTCCAAGCTGTATTCCCACCAACACCAAAGGAGACTGTAGCGTTTGCAGCGTTACAAGCCATTTGCGTAATGTCGGAATTCAAATTAATGACAGAGTCTGTTTTTACGGCATCATTTCCTACTTTATTGTATTGTTTGACGTCGGTAACTATACTTGATAACATGATTATGCTGAAAATGGCAACGCGAGCTTTAGATTTGCTTCCAAATTCTGCAAGTGGCTTTCCTAAGGTTTATTTGGATACCATTCTCAAGAATATAAACAATTTCAAGTACAATGACATCATTGAGAAGGTTTCTGCTTCAGCATGGCAAGTATTTGAACAAAATAAGACAATTCCAACGCAATTGAACCAATCACAGTTCTCAGCTATATTCACAAACTTGGCGTTGAGATATTTGGGATCAGCAAATTTCGATAACTCTCGAAATGAAATTGTAAAAATGATGTCAATTGTTTCTTCCTCGGCCTTTCAAAAATTCAATGATTTACAAACTCAAAAATTGAATAGTTTACAAAATCAAAATTCGGAAAATGAAACTGAGCAGACAGTTAGTGTTGGTGATGAGAGATTTTCATTTAGCACACTAATTCTCAGTGCAGTTCCGGAAGATTATGCTGATAGTGTAAGAACAGAGGCAAATCTACTTATGCAGACGAAGCCAATTGCTGTTATGATATCAGTAAGTCTTCCTAAGATCTCTGCTTTCTTGCCAAGCTTAGTTAGAGCTGTAAGAGAATCTGAACCTCCAGATCTTAAGTTAGTTGAAGATTTCATTAAAGCTGGAATGAATTCATGCGGAATAGACTTCATTCCTTATCTCAGGAAGTTTATAGAACCTGTAGAAAGAAGTTCCAAATATTTTATCGTATCAATCAAAAGGAAAACGAAAGGCTTCATACCAGAAGCACTTAATGGCATAAGTTATGCATGCACATTAGATAATTGCTCGGATTATCTTCAGGATTTGATCAAAATCCTCGATGATTCCATAGAAAGTCCAGAAAGTATCGTTCCAATGAAGAACAACGTCATGAACGCTGTTAATTCAATACTTTCTGTCTGCAAAGACACCAAAATACCTTCATCTTTATCAAATAAATTGTTTTCAGAAGTTTCGATGTCACCTTTGTTTACAAAACTTCTGAAACATATTCCAGAGAGTGAAACAAATTTGTTAAAGACAGCCATTTTATCATATGCAAAGTATATTGCATCAAATAAAGAAGAAAATACGGAAAATGAAGAATTTGTGAACCAAATCTTTTCAATTAGTGATTCTGAAGAGATTTTGTCCTGCTTCTTATCATCATGCTTATCAGTAGTGTCATGTGATGATCCTAGTTCTATCATAGACCTCTGTCTTAAAGCTGCAACAACATTTAACTCATCTCATACGACAAACTCTCTTAATTTTGGAGAATTCGTGTATGGAACATCAAAACTAGCTATATCCCCATCATTACCACTCAGAGTTCTTCTCAGAGACTGCATTGTTCAATTATTTAATTTAACTTTGCCAGCAGACACGAATTCTCCATTGCATCTTGCAGGATCGAAGCTCTCCCCTGCAGAAGTAGTCTCTTTTGCTTCAAGTCTCTTTGATTTGGCGACATCTAAATTTGATGAAGATCAAAGTTGCAAATTAGCATTATTAGCAGCACAAAGCCGCCCTCTGCAGTTCCATCAAGCACTTTTCATAAGGAGTTTGACGAATCACGCAGCAAAATCCATAGTTTCAGATAATAGAAAGACTTTGATACATTTTCTCGAAGGCGCTGAGGAGGCATCAGAAGAAGCATACTCGTTATGCTTAGAAACAGCCGTAATGTTATTCAAAGGAGACAATTTTGTCTTTACAGACCGATTTTTATCGGTTCCACTCACTAAATTCGGCAGAAGGTCACTTGAATATTTCGTACGAACATCTGAGCACAGAGATAACTACTTAAATGCTTACGGAAGAGTAATATCTGGTTTGAAATTCCCAACAACGCCATCTGAACAATCAGATTTCCTGGCAGCTGGATATTTCCATGCATTATACGTAATGGTCAACGTAGATGCCGCTTCCGATGCCTTAAAACAAACATTTGGACAACATGTCGCTCATTGCATTACATGGTTGTCACTTTTATTAGCATCAAATTCCACAATTTCCAAATCATTGCAGAAAGAGTTGATTGGACATCTAACAACAACTCTAGATCATATTTTCGCTCGTGTTGGAAGAAGTAGTAATGAACCGATCGAATTATCCCTCAAAACGCCTAAAAAGCTCTTCCTTACACTCGGAACATTGGCAAATGCCCTCATGATGGTAGATTTCTCGCTTCTTGTCGATTTTTGCCGAGCATTATTCCCATTACTTTCTTCTGCTATTCCGCAGATCATTTTAACAGCAGGAATGGTACTTGCTCGTCTTCTAAGTCGCGTTTCGATGCTTGATTCCGATGCTTCCAACCAATTATTACCCAAATTAAGAGAATCTCTTGCTTACGCGTTCGTAAAAGCAAATGACGAAAGCTGTAGGATCCTTTCTGGTCTGGCAGCTGAAACATTCCAGCGATCTGCAATAGATTTGTTCACAAATGAAGATAAAGTCAAACTTATAAATGGAAGTTTACATGGTCTCAATTTTCAAGGGGAAGATTTTCGTCAAGAAAATGTCACTTTTGTTTGTAAAGTTGCCAGGCAAACACCAAAAGAATATTTAGAGGAATACATTGACCAAGTCTGGGACTTTGCTGTTCATTCACGATCATTTGAAACAATGTCTGTTCTTTGCGGAATGGAATTGAAGCCAGAACGAATTCCTTGCGACATTTTGGCCGAATCTCTTGTCGCAATAACAAACATTGATTACCCAGGACACAATGAGTGCAAAGAGTTTGTGCAGGCAATATTTAAGACAGTGGAAATGAAAGAAATCGTTTCTTTAATTCCTTCAATTTTCAAAGATAAATTTGAAGAAATTTCTGATGATGTATTGAAGTTGGTCACAAAAGGAAATGCAACAATGGCTTCTTTGGATATGATTGTCCTTATTTCTAGAGGAAATCAAGAAAAAACTCAAAAAGTTATTTCGCATTTGATCGCAATTGTTGATGATGGAGATCACGTCCTTCGCGATAAAGCAACTGAATTGCTTGTTCAAGTGATTTCCGATGATTAGTTCTATTTTTGTATATTTTTTTGAATAAATCATTTATATTTTAGTTAAATGAAAATGTTTCCTTGAGTGTTTCTCCAAACGAGATCCTTAAATATAAAACATTCCAGTTGATTTTTTTTAAATATCATACTAAAGTAAATCATATGTAAGGATTGTTATATAAAAAATCATTTGAAATCATAGAAGTAACTTTAGATGGTCATAACATTTTGATTTCTATTACAAAACTTTAGAAATTATTTATTTTGGAGGTTGGGTAGACAAAATCTACAGGATATTTTCAATTATATGGGGATTTCGATTATGCCATATAAGATCTGAATTATTGTGCATTTATTTTGATATGATAATTGAATTCCTTTATTCCAACCTTATTCTCAACATAAAGTGACACTTTTCGCGCATCATTTTTATATAGCAATTTTTCATATAATGAAATTTTAACATAAGATGATTTCAGCATCACTTGTTAATGAATCATTTCTTGGAGCTAAATCAAATGTGAAATTCAATAAAACACATTACACTTTTGATTATCCTTGCGAATCAAATTCTGAATGCACAGATTACAAATTAATCTTAGAACCAGATACTTACAAATTCGAACTCTATGGTGCATTAGGTGGCTCGATGAGTAATTCAGTTTCGTCGTATCGCTTTTCAAATAATAGTTGCATTCCAAATGAAATTGTTCAGAAGTATCATGGAAACACACAATGCATTAGAAAGGCGAGCGTTGGTGGAGCTGGTGGTTACATAGCCGGAACTATTCATTTATCCAAACAAACAGTCACTTTTCTGACGATAGGTGGTCGTGGGATTTATGGCAATAAAATTTATGAAGTTCGTACCCCAAATTGCTTTTTGAAACAAAATATGATGAACGGCGGCTATGGCGGTGGAGGAAGTTCCTCCAATTACTGCGGTACTCAAGTCGAAACGTCTGGTATTTTTTGTGGAACAGGTTCTGGCGGTGGCCAGACAGCTGTCAAATTTTTAGAGAATGACCTATGGCATCGTGTCTTAGTTAGTGGGGGAGGTGGTGGTTGTGATAATGCCCAGGGCGACTACGGAGGTAGTGATGATGGTTCTGGAGGCGCCGGGGGAAACTTCACCGCTCAAAGTTGGTTTGCTAATGGAGTTCTCTCTGAAAATTATTTTGCCGATTCCCTGAAAGGATTCAGTTTTGGTGTTGGAGAAGCTGCGAGATATGGTACTACATCAAACAGTAATGCTGTTCAAGAAAGAAAAATGGAAGATAATGCGGGTGCTGGAGGTGGTTGGTTTGGAGGCTTTTCCGGTCAATTTGGTTCAGCAGGTGCGGGAGGTGGAAGCTCATGGGCATTAACTAAAGATGCAATAATTCCTAAAGTTGCATTGACCACATCTGATGAATTTTATATGAATACTATCTCTAGATATTATGAATTTGACCTTACATCAGGATACTTATTCGAAGATATTGTAAATGTTGCTGGAATCTGGAATGGAAATGGAAGGGCAGTGATTTCTATTATCAATCGAAATCATATAAGGAGCTGTTATTGGAGTATTGGCATACCACTTCATTTCTTCATTTTTTTGATTTTCGTAAGTAGTTAAAGACATCCATTACTTTAAACGTTATCATTTAGAGAACATTTTTAATATACAAAAATAAATTTACATGACGAAAATTTTCAGCGTCACATTTTATCGTAATTTTTATATCTACCACAAAAATGGAGCATTTAGTTGCGCTATCATTTGAGCATAGAATTGGAAACCAAGTCGACGGAATTTATCCACCACTACCAGACAAAGAATATATTAAATCTTGGAGCCAAGGTCTTCCTTTTATTGGAATTCCAGACAAAGCACACGGCTCTTGCTCATCATTTATTCACTTTACCTTACCAAATCCTGATCATCCTACAGGCCAATCATACGGTATAGCTGCTTACAGATCTTTCGAAACATCCCAACTAAAGACTCAAGATCCAGCATACGTAAGAGGTCATGTTCAACGTTCTCTTCTTGTAATCTCAAAGATTCCTCTATTTGGAGAACTTGAAAGCAAATTGAAACAATTACTTTTCGATAATTTTGATAATTTAGTTCCATCTCTTGAAACGATGTGGAATCAACTTCAAGAAGTTGTTGCATCACCAGTCAGATACTCAGGTATATCATATCCTTCTCTTTTTCAAAATTTACAAACAGAAGTTCTTACGGCCATCAAAGCTCTTGTTTTAGGCCATCGCATTCTCATATTTGCCGATAACTCAGAGCTTGTCTCCAAGATGGTCACAGCCATTGGCTCATTACTCCCAGGATATATGTATAATGATGATTATCCATACAAATTCTTCGGAACAGACTACGCATTTGCCCCTTACGTACCATTACAATTCACAGAGGTTCTCAATCACTCTAAATCTCACTCAAAAATCATGGGAACATGCAGTGAATTGTTTATGGACCAAAAAATCGTGAATTACGACCTTCTCATCGACTGCCGCAAGATACCAGCCCTTATCACAGGTGGCGACATCCTCAAAATGTGTCGTCCTACATCAGTTGAGACAAAATGGATGAATGAGCTCTTGAGTGAACTGAAACTCAACTGGCAAAAGGCAGAATCAGCGGATTGGGTTCGCGATATGTTCAAGAAGTGGATGAACACGCTCTTCTTCACAATCCTTTCGACAAGACACTTATCTATTGTTCCAGAATACATTTGGCCATATTTAGACTGGATAAAGGCATACGATGTATTCGGAGAACAGTTTATCAATGAACTGTTGAAACTGGACAACACTAAACAGATTCTTCGCGCGAAAGATACATCAAAATTCCAGAAAATTGATGAAACTCTCGTCCCTCCAAAGAAAATGACTATCAAATCACTCAAGTTCTGGTAATGTGAACTTTTTTTTTTAATTGTAATATATTAAACTTTATCTTTCCATAATTTTTTATTAAGCTTTTCTCTTTATGATAATATATGCGTATTATAGCCAAATGTAAAAAAAAAAAAAAAAAAAAAAAAAAAAAAGGTAGTGGGGCTTCCAGGCACTTCGTGCCCTCTAGCCCCGGAGAAACTAGAGGAGGACTGATCTCAAGACTCAGATGAGAAAAAAAATAAAGTAAAAATTTGAAATTTTTATTCGGAAATTATTTTTTTATTCGTCTTCTTGTTGTTCTTCTTCCTCCTCCTCTTCTTCATAGTCAGTATCTGATGGCTCTTTGTCAGCCACATGACCAGCAACAAATATTGAGACAAATTGTTTCTTTGGTTTTGTTAGCAGGAACTTTTGATGGTCGTAGAACACGAATTCTACATTTTGAAAATGTTGTGCTGAGTATTCTGTGAAATGGGAAATTGGAATTGGTTCTCCCATGCCAAAACCAGCAATGGACGCGAACAAAACATCGTCTTCGACTCTTGCAGGTTTGTCAATTGCAACAGTAGTTATGATGTGAGGTTTTCCTTCACATCCTGCAAGAGATTGTACATGAAAGATTGCTTTTTCTTCTCCCTCAGGAACTGAAAGTGTGAAATGGAATGAGAGTTCTCCATATTCATTTGCTTCTTCGTAATAGTTGTATGTTGTAGGATACACCAATTGAAATTTTCCTATTCTTGTTTCCCTGAGGTGTTGTCTATATTGCTTGGGAAAACATAAAATAAATTGCTCTATAGCTTGTGCTGCTATTAGATTGGTTGTAACTGGTAATTTTGAGGCGAAAAGGTCTACAAGAACACCGGGATTTTTTATGTCGTTTTCAATTGGTTTAACAGATTCTATGACTTTGTTAAACATTTCACTATAATCTGAGTTGTCTTCGACCCCCAATTGTTAAGAAGTTTATACAACAATTTCAGTCTTTTCATGGCGTATTTTCTTTGAATGGATTCGGGTAGCGAGAGGTTACAGTCGTCGGTTTGTGTTTCGTTACTCGAATATTGTTCAAGAGAAATTAAATCTTGAAATTGTGCTCTTGTTAACATACTTGTAGAACTATGTGAAACTTGTTCTGGTGCTGGTTGTAAATCTGTTTCAGATGTTTCTGTTGTGTTTTGAGAAGAAGAAGAACTCAAATTGTTGGACAATTTGTCTTGAATTGTAGAACTATGTGAAACTTGTTCTGGTGCTGTTTGGACAACTGTATCTGTTGTGTTTTGAGAAGAAGAACTCAAATTGTTGGACAATTTGTTTGCAATTGTATGAGGAAGTTGCTTTGGTATTATAGGAGGTCGTAAGGGTTTTGAGAATGGTGAGACATAAGTTGTAGGAACTTTAACTGCAGAGGTAGTCGACGAATTGTTTGCAATTGTATGAGGAAGTTGCTTTGGTATTATAGGAGGTCGTAAGGGTTTTGAGAATGGTGAGACATAAGTTGTAGGAACTTTAACTGCAGAGGTAGTCGACGAATTGCTTGCGACACTTTTTCTTCCTTCCATTAGACAAAAATAAACTGTTTTTTTCGGACTACTCATAGAAAAGTTTAAAATAAACCGTTTTCGTCAACGGTAACCCCCTCTATTTTTTATTTTATTGAAAAGTCTCCGTTGGCAAACCGTTCCATCTCAAATATTGAATGAACTATAAACGTTTTTTGTTTTCTATACATACTTTTTTGTCCAACGGTAAAACTTTTTACACAACGGTTTTGAGAGTCGTCTCCGTTGACTTTTTTGTAGAGCACTCAAAATAGTATAACTTTGTCCGGACAAGTAAGGGTCTATCGTCGCTACAGGAAAAGTTACAGGCGTTCCAAGGAAGTATACTTTGAGAAGCCTTTTCCCCTTATAGAATGAGATAGGACGGTTATTTTACAAAACTGACAACACTTTGACCGAGTAGTTTTTTGTGCTGAACAAAAAGTGTCATATAAACATCTGTCAAAAGCCGCTTTTTAACTTCACTTAAAATGCCACGTAAGCTACGTAAGAATATACGTAAGAGGAAGAGAGCATTGAAACATCCAATAGTAAAACTGACACCACAACAACAGTTGCAACAACAAATGCTGAATGACCCCACTATGTTGCAACAAATGTCAAGCAATCCTATGCTTTTAAACCGAGTTGTTGGTGCACAGAGTGGAGGTTTAAGAGCGGCACTTTTAGCGAAAATGGCAGGCTATGGTGGAGCTGCAGACGGAACAGCCTATAACCCTCAAAGTCAAATGAATTTGAGTTCACTCAAAAATCAAATAGCAGATGTCAAAAAGTCAAACATAGACATACAGAAGCAAATAAGTGAAAACGAAAAGAAACTAGAATATGACAGACACACAAAGAAACTCAATGAGTTAAACGTAGAGAAAAAGAAGAAAGAAGAACAACTGAAAGAACTAAGTACAGAGGAATATGCGAAAAAAGTGTCAGAAAAAGCAGCAGAAGTAGCAAAAATGGAACAAGATGTTGTAAATTTGAAAAACCATACTACTCAATATAAAGTACTGAAAGATGAAGAGATAAAACAAAAAGCCCTGAAGACATATATGGATAGCGATGAGTATAAAAAGAAGTTGAAGCAAATGTAAAGGCAGAAAAACTTTTACAGTTGCAAAACCAAACCGTACAGTATGAAAACTTAGCACAAGAAAGTAAAAATAACGACGCAGCCATGCAAAAGGCAATGAAAAGCGCAGAATATATAAAAGCTAACAATGACTGGTTAGATGCCCAAGCCAACGCTAAAGCAGCCCAGCTTATAGGGTCAATAAGGACAAAAATACAAGCGGATGAAGACAGTTCAAATGAAGCTTTAACAAATGCTGACTTTAAGAACGCCTTCGAAGCTCTTCATAGTAAGGTGAAACAAGTGAACGACTTCTCATCTGGAAAGAAACTGAAGTCTGAAGGTTTCGACAAAGAGTTAAAAGAAGTAGCACAAAATATGACGAAAATAACAGATGCAGCAACGAGACAGGCAGTTCAAAGTGCCTATGACGCCGTTAGAGCAACTGTTGTGAAAGTCAAGAAAAAGAGTTACAACAGACCAAAACAGACCTAGTAAATGCTTTCTTAAAAACGAAAAGTCAGGTAGGACATTATGCTGCAGATGGAACATATGTGCCAGCTGGTGGAACTTATATACCACCAAACCCTCCAAGAGAAGCACCTGCACCAGGACTACCTAAAACATTTACATCGTCACATGGACACAGACACAGGCATGCACCAAAACCAACACAACAACCAACAGTTCAAAACCCACAACAACCAACAGTTCAAAACCCTGCACAACAACCACCTCACAACCAGCACAACAACCACAAACAGAGCAAGGACATAAAAGAAGTAGAGAACAAGGAAACCAAGAATTCTTAAAAATGCTTAAAGAAGACTATGGTTACCCAGATACTATTGACTTTAGTGACAGATATAAAGAAGCTATTAGAAAGTTCAATGAAGGAAATACTGACCCGAACCTATTTAGCTTTATGGCTCAGCACCAAATGGATATAATTTCAAACCTGGAAAATACAAGCTCGCTAAGGGATATGATTTAATAGCATATCATCCAAATGACATGAAGAATTTACTCCGAGATATTTGGTGTCAGAGCTAAATGATAATTCAACTATCTTCATGAAACGCGTAAAAAATAGAGACGGAACGAAAGAAGAAAGGTTATGAATGCGAATGACTTAAATAGGGAACTTGTTGAAAACGGTCTCGGAATATATGAAATGCCAGCAGATGAGGTACAAGAAACTCCACAGGAAGAAGTTCAGATACAACCAGACATGGAAGAAATAGTTCAGCAACAACAGCTAGAAGAGCCTGAAGGAAACGAACAAGTCACTCCTTTGGAAACTAACTTCACAGAACTAGATGAAGATTTGGAACAGCCGAAAAATCTTGACCCTCAACAAGTGTATGCGGAGAATATGGAATATTTCCAAGAGTCTAAAAAAAATTCGGCTGACATAGTAGAAGAATATCGAAAAATGTTTGCCGACATACAAAAGACTCCAACACCAGATGAAAATATTCAGCATAGAATGGAAGTACTGAAAGAAAATGTACGCAAATACAACAATCCTTTTTACTTACGACCATATAACGTTCAATCTTTGGCTGAACTCGGTGAAAATAAAAGGTTAAATTTCAACAAAACATATAGAAATGAAACATTGTTTAAAGTTCATTCAGAACCTAACCAATATGGAAACAAACCTACTTTTGTTTCTGCAGACTATGGAACTACAATGAGATGGGGTCATAAAGCTAACCCGGATAGGTGGTTCATAAACTTACAACCACAATTCCAAGAAGTTGTAGACGCAATGGAATTGAATGGTGAACGAGACATAGCTGGTATTTTAAGCGCGGCTTTAATGCCATTGAAAGATATGAAACATGCAGATATTTTGGACCAGTATGAAATGAACATGGCTGATGGAAATATAACACCTGACGTTCTAAAACATTTATCTCAAAGAACTACACAGAACCATAGAGATGGTATATTTGGTGAAGAGTTTAGAAAGACAGTTAGGGAGAGAGAAGGAAGAGAACCTATTGTACATGACCTTGCAAACGAAAGTTTACAAAATGTCATAAAAACTTACTTTGCAGACAATGAACCGAGAAGGGATGAATATTTAAGTAAACTCAAATGGACAGTACCAAATGAAATGTTAGTATTGAAAAACATGTTCCTTGACAAAATAAAACCAACTACAGAAATAAATGACGCAAGCTTGAAACGTTGGGTAAAAGCTTTCCCGTTCACAAAAGATATAATTGGTAACATGGAAAGAAAACCAGAATGGCTACAAAAACATATATTTGGAAACGAGCTTATTCCATATGGACAGGCACTGTTTGAAGAGCTTGAACCGGAAACTCAGGAAAGAGTCATGCAAACAATACGCAAAGACTCAAATACAAACTATGACAAACTCTTTCTAGGATATAGGTTACCTGAGATGGGCGACCAGAGTCCAAAGGCAAAAAGGACATGGGAAATTTACAACATACTAGGTGAACATGAGGCAAAGATGCAACAACTTCAAGCAGAGGGCAAGTTACCAAAGCGACACCAAAGAAGAAGAGTAGAACAAAGTGAAAGTAGTGAAGAAGTAACTTCATCTAGTGAAAGTAGTGGCAATGAAGGAAAAAGAAGAGTTAAAAACTCAGTCAGGAAGAAAGTAAAGCTTGGTCCACGTGGGTTCTATTATGACATATAAATCCAACTATTCTATATTTTTACCCATATGAAATGTACGCCGCTCAGAATATAACGCCAACAGTTTTGGATGCCATGAATGGAAATGTTTCCGAATGGTATAACGAATGCGACAATGCCATTAGAAGGTCAGAAATAGTTCCTGGAACTTACGAATATACAACTGCTGTTTCTTATGGAAACGTAGGTGAGTTTGGAGAAGGTTCTTCAACAACAGTAGATATTGCTTGCGACAGGTTTCATATAATTTCTATTGACAACTCTTTCTTATACGTGGAACAAGACATTGAAATAAAACCTTCTGCCAAGTTGTCTGACAAGAAAGGTTGCAATGGAATTTTCTATGTCGGATACCAATATGCTCCAGAAGTTTTCATGGGATATAAGATATATTCTAACTCTGACTTAGTTCAAACAGTAACATGGGCAAACTATGAATGGTTCGCTTTGAGAAACTCAGTACAACCACAAGCTAGAGAACAAACAGACCAGTATGCAACTATTGAGAAAATAAGAAGACTTGACCCTAACGTTCCAGGAGTTTATGTTAACCTTTCTGGACAAACTGCAGCAGCAGTAACCAAAGTAAAACTGAAACTTAGAGTTCCTTTGTCATCTTTCCTCATCTTCAGGTTTTTAAGATACTTGCCAAACTGGGCAGGAAAAATTTCTATCGAACTTACTCCAAGCAAAAATAACTTAGTCATTGCACCAACACAAGACCCATTCACTCTTACTGTAGCTGGAACTGGTGGAGCCAAGTTCTGTGACTTTTGCAAAGACAAAGTTGACTTAGACTTTGGTTTCTCAAACCTCAACACTGAAGTAAACTACTACTTCAATGCTGCTGGAACTGCTTGGGACCCAGTTAAGTTCACATGCGAAAAATTTGAATGCAAGAGAATAGAAAGCAGACTTGCAGTCTATATGTTGGACCCAGATATTTCAAATGCTTTAGCTGCCAAATATATTGCAGTTCCACTTATGTTCCCTATACACCAAATATCTGTCAAAGACTTTGCAGGTGAAGTTGGAAACCAAAGTGCTGACCCAGGTGCAAGAACAGATATTGCTTTAACAACTGCAATGAAACATGCAGATACTATGTTTGTACTGTTCAGACGAACTATAAATGACTATTCTTGTTTCTACAACCCTGGTATTAAATATCATATAAACATAGATGGCAAATACTATCCAAGAGAAGAATATTCACAGTTGAGGATATGAGGTCATACAACTTGACATTAGATGCTATGAACTTTAACAACAACTTCACAACAACCATTAACCCTGAAATGCAAAGTTCTATTATGCCATATGTGAAAGTATGGACTCATACAGGAGCTCAAAAAACTCAATATACAAATGGAGACCGTTCAAACTTTTGGCTTGGCATTCCATTTGCTGACTCAGAAGACTTTATGGGTGGTATTTCAACTGTTGGTACAGTTCAAATACAATATACTGGTGACAGAGACGGTCCAGATGAATTGAAAGCAAAGAAGTTTACAAAACCAATAGCACTTTTCACGGAAGATGCTCTTTTGAAAATTCGTTCGATGAAACCTGCTGGGGCTCCTCAGATTGGTATAACGACAGCTTCCATCGAGCAGATTTTGGCAGCAGGTCAGTAAGTTGTTCTTGAACTGACTTCTCTCCGTCAAATATTGACAGTACGCCAGTTTTGATATAATATTGTATTATAAACTTACCTTTAGAAATATCGGTCAGTTTTGTTGTTATATTTTTGTCTGCTTCAAGAACTTTCACCATCTCGGTTATACCAACTTTCTTTGCTTTATGAAAATATTTTGGTTCAGCAAAGACTGCTATTCTATAACATTTTCCATTGTTTGTATAAAGAACTATTCTATCAATGAACTTGTATTGTTTGTGTGTGTAAACTTGTTTTGCTTCAATTCGAAGAGATACTCAAATACGTCCATCTTTTTATTCTAAGTAAAATGTCATTTCCGAAAAATAGAAGCGTAAGTGTTTCAAAAGGTTTAATGGCGGTGGCAGATGTGAAGTTAAATTCACCAACTCAAACAAACAGTCAAAGTGTTGTTGTCAATGTCAAAGAAAGAGATGTTGAAGTGGGGAAACCATACGAAGACGAAGATGGTATAACAATAGTTCCTGTAAAAGAACAACCAACATATCCTGAAGTTAGCAGAGACTTAAGTTCTGTTGCAGATATTCGAAACGACTACCAACAACTTAAAGACAAACTTAAAACTCAGGAGAAGATTTGTCAGGCTTTGGGTATAATGTTAAACTTGGTGACACAACCCTGTAAAAGTGAACTCATATGTCATTGCACCTCATGAAATTTTGAAAGAACTATTGAAACTTTTGACAGAGGCAGACGATATAAACATCAAAGAAATAGAACCCGACATTGCTTGCTGTGGTGTTTCATATAATGTCATTGACAAGATATACGTTATGAAAGGAGGTGAAACGTTGAACTTAAAATATAGTTTCCCAGACGTCATAAAAATATTTGACGACCACAACATTTCATTAAAATTTACTTGCTAAGTAAATGGCAGAAGACATAGTGGTTTATACTATTACGACTAAAAACCCTGAGTCATATAATTCTATAACAACAAACTTACAAAGTCCTCAAGGACGATATTGTAAACTGACCTTAAACACGATGACGACTAAAGCCTGTTTTGCTCTTTTGACACCAGAAGACTTTGTTGTTGTGAATGGTAAAAAATACTTCTTTGAAGATACTTACTCAGATATACCACCAACAGGTTTTGTTGACTTATTTAATACTTTAAGGACGGATGTAACATGTGCTGCAACTAGAGCAGGTTTCATTATGTTTGGATGTCCGACTGAGTTTAGTATAAACGATATGAGCTATAATACAAAACTTATATCTGGTTTTTACTACCAACAGTTTCCTATAACAGGAAAAGGTGTCATACAAGGTCTATCTGTTCCATTGACTTTAAGTACACCTATTTTATATATTGTTTCAAACTTAGGTTCAAAGTGCTATTCGAATGTCGACAGAAACTACTATGACCAAAAGATACTCATGCGTATAAACAACACTTTCTCTGCTGGTTTGCCTATTGTTCATTCGAATGCAGAGTTTTCAGCTTTAGTAAACTCAAACACTTTAGCAAACATAAACTTAACCTTAGTTGACGCAAACTTTGTTCCTGTAAAACTTTTATGTCCTATGTATTTGTCAATGACGGCAGAAAGTTTCGAATTGGAAGATGCAACTGGTGAAAGTATTGTACTACAAGAACAACTTCAACAACAAATAGCTCAAGAACAACAAATGCAACAAATAGCTCAAGAACAACAAATAGCTCAAGAATAAAAAAAATATTTTTTTTATTTTTATAAAAAAATGTACAGAATAGACGTTTCAGATTTTTATGACTTCCAAGCGTTCAGAAATATGTGTCCATTTCGAGACTATAACAAAGCAGTCGAGAATTTGAAACGTTTAGTCATTTATGTCGACTCTGCCCCAGAATGTTATGTCATGAAAGAATGGGATGTAGTCTTTAACAAACCTAAAGCGACAATAGTTTCAGAACAAGAATGTAAACAGAAACTTAAGAAAATAAAAGTCGTACAAGTTGGTATGAAGATGTTAGATGCTTGGGATATCTTATTGTCAAAGTTAGAAGATTTTTCAGTTCGTGGTATAAAGTTCTATACACCTTCTCCAAACTTCTATTCTATCTTCACTGGATATAAATACGAACAAGTAGAATGGAAAGAAAATGTTATAGAAGCTTGGTTAGACCATGTCAAAGAAATTATATGCAATGGAAACGAAAGAGTCTATGAGTATATCTTATGTTGGTTTGCAAACATCTTACAACATCCAAGTGCTAAAAATGAAACTGCTCTCATCATAATTGGAAAACAAGGAACAGGTAAGAACACTTTCTTTACAGATATTTGTGCAAACTGTTAGAGGGCTATTCGAACCCTAATATGACAAACTTAGAAAACATCTGCGGTAAATTTAACTCTTCAATAGAGAATATGAAACTTATAGTATGTAACGAACTTCAAAGTATAGATACAACAAAGTTTTAAACTCAGATGCTTTGAAGAGTCTTATAACAGACAAAGTTGGAGTTGTTGAAAGAAAGTATAGAGACCAAAGAGTTTGTGAAAATGTTGCAAACTTCGTCATGGTTTCAAACAACGCCGTTCCGATGAAGTTAGAAAGTTCTGACAGAAGATATGTAGTTGTCAGAACGTCAGAAGCTCATATGCAAGATACAGAATATTTTGACGACTTAGCAGAAACTTTGACACCTAACTTTTACAACCACTTGTTCTCATATTTCATGACATTAGATATTTCAAAGTTCAATCCAAGACAAATTCCACATACCGAAGAGAGACAAACATTGTTAGAAGCAAACAAGAGTGTATATGAACTGTTCATAGATGAAACTGACTTTGAGTGTTTAGATGAAAGGTCATTGTACGATTCGTATAAACAGTATTGTCAAGAGTATGGTTATATGACAGCGTCTAAACGAACATTCTTGGCAAATGTCAAAAGTCTTTTAGATGTTCAGAATGGTGTATATACAAAGAAAAATTTTTCTGAGTAAATTTTAAAAAAAATATTTTTTTATCCGATAGAAAAGATGACGAAATTCATCTCAGTCAACAAGTACATGTCAGGACTTAAAGAAGAACTAGACCCATTCACATATTTGAATGTTTACTTCTACCATTTTGAAAAGTCTACATTTGACAAAGTTTGGAACATCGAACCAGTTAAGTTTGCTATTGTGACTAAAAATGGTGCGAAATTTGAAGACTTAGACATAGAAGGTTTGTTAACAGTCAAAGAAAGTTTTGACAGAAGGTTTTCAAACCTTAAAGAAGGCAAAGCATACAAACTTGTTATACCTTATGAACCAAAGAAAGCAGACGACTATGAATATTATGAGTCTAAGATAGTTGAAGTTCAAGGTAAATTGGGTAAAAAGATTTTAGAGTCTAAGCCAGTGTTTGCTCCTAAAGAGGAAGAGAACATTGACATTGACCCAGAAATGTTCTAAAAATAAAATTTTATTTTTACATGTCAAATTTCTTTTCTCTGGAACTGGCTCTGGTTCTTTCTTCTCTTCTTCTACTTTCTTTTCTTTCTTTTCTCTCTTCTTCTTCTCTGGTGGAGTTATGTCAAACTTCTCAGAACCATATTTTTGTAAAAGTCTTTGTCCTTTAATAGTTCTTCTATTCTGTTTTCTATTTCATCTTCAAGAACAGCGCATGTGTCTTCTTTGCATTCTAAGAAGTTTTGTTGGACTTCATCTCTCCAAGAGGCGTCATCTCTGTCAACAAGTCTGTCATTGACAAATTTTAAGACTTCTCTGCTTAAGGTTTTATGGTTCTTGTCATATTCCCAGAAACAGAACTTTAGAACAAATTCACCTTTCTTGTTTACACTATGTAAGATTTTATGGTCGACAGATGTTTTGCTGTCGAAAAGCTTGTCTCGAATATAGATAGCGAAATCGCTAGACATTTTCTAAAAGATAAAAATTTTAATTTTTCTAAAAATATGTTAGAAAAAAAGTTTGCTGACATTGACAAGAAATTTGAGAATGTTTTAAACAAGAACAAGAGGAAGTTGGAAAATGCTCAGATAAAACCCATACATGACAAGTTCTTATTTGCTCAGAATGGTATAACAGGTCTAATCGCACCACCTGGGTCGGGTAAGACTTTCACTTATCTTAAAATGGCTGCACAACAACAAGAACTAGATGAGAAGAACCCATTCTATGAGTTAGTTGTCATTTGTAGTACTTCTGGTCAATTTGACCAAACCGTCAATTCGTTCAAAGATATTATAAAAAAGTCTAAGTTAGTATGTATAAAAGACTCTGAGTTGTTAGATTGGATAAAGAAGTACCAAAGAAGAGTTTTGAAGTACAATGCTATAAATGAGTATGTCAATTCGAAGTTTAAAGACCCAAATGAGGAAATGCAGAGAATATTAGA